TATGTGATTATGCAATTGATTGCTTATTTCATTCATTAGTTGTTTAGAAAAATCTGCTTTCTTTCTTAAGAGACTGACTTTCTCAAACTTTGTTATCAATTACAAATTTGCTTCCACTGCATTGGAAAATTAACATTTCTGTGGCCTTCTGATTTATGTCCTATAATTTTTTATTAAAAAGATAATATATATTAATTTTATATATTTTTAAATATTATATAGTATTTTCCTGTAATACTTTGCTGTAAGGCATGGCAAAACAAAAATACAAAATTCCACATAATGCTCACAGCTAGGAGGTAAATGATTATAACATTTTGCTACTCATTCATTTTTCCACTCTCGTGTGTGTGTGTGTGTAATTTTCTTTAAAAATTTAGTAGCCCATTACTTCATTGTAATATCTTCTGGTAATATTAACTTTAGTTTGGGCTTTGTTTGAATCTATATTTTTAAATAATTAAGCTTCATGATTGTTGTATCTTCCTGATGGATTGTTCCTTTTATCATTAAGTAGTATTTCTCTTCATTCTTTAGAGGCTTACTTATCACCTTATATTCCATTTTTTCTTATATTAGTACTACTTTATTGCTTTATCACTTTGTTTTGTTTACTTCGTATATATTTTCCATTCTCTTTATATCCAATGTTTCTGTTTTAATTTATTTAGGCATGTCTTTTGTGTTTTTTAATCCTGTGTGATAGTGTCTGTCTTTCCATAGATCAGTTTATACCATGGGTGTTTACTGTGATTTCTGATATATTTGGCCATGTTTCTTCCACATTAATTTGTGTCTTGTTAACTATACCTTCTCTTGGCTTATTTATCCTTTTCTGCTTCTTCATCATTTTTTTTTAATTGATACAGTTCTAGTCTCTTTTTTCTTCTGCTACTCTGGAAGTTTTGGGTTTTCATCTATTATTTTAGTGGTGAGCATTAATGAAATTTTAACAATATGTCCCTAACCATATATTTTCTCCCCATGTTTAGAGTTATTCAGTGTTTCTGTCATCTTCCTGCTTATGGTAAAGAACTTAGAATGTTTTAACAAATCTGCTGAACTTCTTCCCTAAACTTTCATCTTATAATTGTTTGTCTAGAATTCTAGTTCCATTTCTATAAACACAAAAATTATTGACTTTAAAAAATATATATTCCACAGTGTCTAAAATTGCAATTATATTTTACCACCATCTATGTTAACTACAGTTTCTCATCACTGGCCCCTTTCTTTTGGGTACAAGTTATTTCTTATGGAGTTTATATACTTTTAGTAACTGTTTCAGAGGAGGTCTCAGTGGTAAATACTCTCAGTATTTGTCTGTGTATTTACTTTGTCTTCATTTAAAAAAAAATGATTATCTAAGCTGGCTATAGAATTCCAGACTAAGTTATTTTTTTCTCAGCCTTTTAAAAGTACTGGTCCATTGCCTTTTGGTATCAATTGTTGCCAAATAATATCAGATTAGCCTAACTGGCATTCTTCTTAAGGTGATTGATCTTTTCTTTCTAGTAAGGTTTAAGATTTTCTTTATCTTAAATTTTCTACAGTTTTAATCCAGTGTATCTAAGGATGAATTTATTTTTCTTTATCTGGCTCGATGCTTAGTGGAAACTTTCAATGTGAATATTTCTGCTTTTTTTTTCACTTTTGAAAATGATCAGTGATTTATCCCTTTACATATTACTTCTGTGGCATTTCTTCTAGTTTATTTTTTTTGGAACTTCTGTTAGAAGTTTATTAGTGCCTGTCTGTTTTTATGTCTCTTAACTATTCTTTAATACTTTTAATTTCTTTATTTCTTTGTACAGCATTCTGTATATATTAATGGTCATTTTAGTGCAAAGTTGGGAAAAGGGAGGCCTTGCTGCCTAGATATAAAATATAAAAGACGTCATTTCACCTAAAAATTCTGCCCTCTTCTTTCACCTACTTTCTCTCAACCTTTTAAAAAATTTATGCCTTTTATAAAGGCCTCAGTAATAGAGTTTGGTTCATTTAAACAATACATTAGTCAGTGTGCTAGCCCTCCAGATAGAGAGACGTCTGAGACATGGTCCCTGACCCAAAGCTTAAGGATTTTATAACTGAGTGTGGGACAAAGACATAAATCATTCTAATAGCATCTGTGTGGCAAGTGCTATGAGTGACATATATAGGATGACCCAAGGTTAAAGAAAAGGGCATTTGGTTCTATCTAGGAAGTCAGGGAGATTGGGAGGAGATGATGCTTAAACTGGACCTTAAGAAAAGAATAACACTTACGAAAGAGATACGGGCTAAGTGGACACTCCCAACCACCGTTTCCCTTACTCTCAGCCAATGAGTTTGCCTCTGAGTTTACTGAAAAAATAAGTTTCATTTAGATACGGGATGCTTTTTTTTTTTTTTTTGCTGTACGCGGGCCTCTCACTGTTGTGGCCTCTTCCGTTGCGGAGCACAGGCTCCGGACGCGCAGGCTCAGCGGCCATGGCTCACGGGCCCAGCCGCTCCGCGGCATGTGGGATCTTCCCCGGTCCGGGAAGATCCCA